GGAACAGCTGCCTGTATGTTTTTGGCGTATCAAAATTGAGAAACCCAACAACACACGCTGAGGAGGTGGTCAGAAGCCATCCCCCAACCTCTCATTTTATAGGTGTGAGGGGTCACTTTGGCTGGTAGGTTTTTACCTTTAATTATTTAGCCTCTTGTATATCCCCTCAAGCACAACCACAATGCAGAACGGATGGTAGATCACTGTTCCACCTTTATGTCTCCCTCAGCCTGTTCAGGGAGCAGGGGACAGTTAGAAATGTGGCCCTTGGGGTCATTTTGTTACAAGTGGAGACAAAGGGACCCTAACCTTCATGTTACCCTGAGCCAAGTCACTTCCCACTCCTGGGCTTTGCCTGAGGCTGTCCTGGCCTGCCTGGCCCTGGGTTTGTCCTCCAGCCTGTCTTAACTTCTGGGCTTCTCTACCTCAAATAGAAACAGTAAAAGGTGGAGGAGCCCTGTCTGGCCTCCCTCTGAGGGCAGTGGGATGTGAAGACGTGAAAGTGAGGTTCCACCCTTTAATGCACGTCTCTGAGGGCTTGACTGTGGTCAAAGGGGACTATTTTGCACCTGAGGTCTGACTTACTAGTTGTTGACCCTTCTGACCCCCTCTTTGTCTGGGTGAGGCACATTATATTCTACCAAAGCATCTTCCCAGGACTGTTCTGCAAGACTGTGCTCCAATCTCCCCAGGAATCCCTCTCTGCAGCTCCAATGTGAAAGGGCACTTTCCTCCCAGTATTCAGTGGCTGACCAGGTTGGAGACCAGGCTGGTCATGGCTTTTCACAGAGCTGGTACTCACCCCCCTCTGCTGGCTGGTGTGAGAACTGCAGAGAGGATGGTTTGGTCATTAGTGGGCAGAGCTGCATTTTTTTTAGTTTCTGGTGTGCTGAAAGCACCTCATGATTTTTTTTTGCTGGAGGAATAGACAGAAGGTTGACCGAAGTTTGACCCAGTAGCTTGAAACGCATGCCAGGCACGTGTATGTGCATGCCCAAAATCCAGAGAGAAGGGATTGTGGCGTGGCCAACCCTCCTGGGAAATGATTTATCGCTCACTATCTCTCTTTCTCTGGAGAGCACACACACTCTATAGCAATAACAAAAACAAAAACAAAACAAGCAAACAACTCTTAAAAATGAAGGAATATCATTAGTGATTTTATAAGAGCAAACATTCAAGTTTGGTTTTATCCTCACCCATTTTTTAAAAGAATTATTTTATTTAACTTTATCCGTTTATTTATTTCAATGTGATCAGAGAGGGACAGAGTAAGGGAGAGACAGAGAGAGAGAGAGAGAAAGTGAGAAAGCCAGCCACTAGGTCTGGGACTCCAACTGCAGGTGGCCATGTAGGAGTCCAGTGCCTTTAACTACCATGCCACCTGCCAGCTTCCCTTACTCGTTTTGTGACATTGCCAGTTTGCCTTTACTGCTCTTCCCGGAAGCTCTAGCGTCTCATCCTGGAAGCTCTAGCATCTCATCCCGGCTCTGTTGCAGTGGATGCTATCAGGGTAATAGAGCTCCATGGTTGAGGAAGCTCCTGGGTCCTCTTGTGGTGCTCCCGGTGTGATGTAGGAAACAACATAATCTCAGAAAAGGAACTTAACCTCTGTTTTTGATTTTGAATCTAGATTTGCTACTCAGTAGAAAATCTGGTTAGGGCCTCTGAGCACCATGGTGGTTAAGACAGCTGGATCCCATATGGCTGACTACAAGTCAAATTCCAGTCCTAATAGCTTGAAAAACATGGTGGGTGTGTGTACCCCAAATCTCAATAGAGTGGACAAATGGAGCAGGTGGGATTGTAGTGTGATCATGCCCCACTGGGTGCTTTTCCCTTCTCCTTTTTTTACCTCTCTCTCATCTTTCTGAAGAGCGCATGCACCTCCTGGCCATAAAACAAGACAATAAGTGCATTTCAAATTCATGGTGCCTGCCATGGTCTCCATTTTAAGTCCAGCTGAGGGTATTGCCATGGTAAGCAGCCGTGTGGTAGCTTGGTTAAGCGGCTTTGCTTGCATCTGTTCCTCCACAACAGATCAAAGTGGCCCGGTACACACGGCATTGCCTAAGACTTGAGCTGAACCAGTAAGCTTCTTGCTCTTTAACCAAGCCAGAGTTCAAAGGCCTTATGGGAAAATTACGAAGAAAGAAGGGTCCAGGTTTTGAAGAGGAGAGGTACAGGGATAGGAAAGAAGATCTAAGGATGTGGGACTATCATTAGTGTTTATGATACTGGTCTTCCACTTGGCCAAACATGGTTTGAGTTCCAGACCTGGCAGCTTGAACATCATGTCAGGTACACGTGTGTGCCCCAAATCACAGAAGAATGGAGGAGAAGGGATTGTGACATGGCTACCTCCCCTGGGGGGTGCTATCTCACTTTACCTCTCATTATCTTTCTCTCTAGTGAGCTCTCATGCCTTATGGCAAAAACTCTTTTTCTTAATTAAAAAAATTTTATAGACCATAGATGATTAGCATCCATCATGCCGTGAATCCATAGGGAATAGGTTCCAGTAACTCAGGCTCCTTTCCACTGGTTCTCACACTGTGGCTTCTCTGGGAGGAGCAGGCTGGCACTTTAGTTGAACACAGGTCCCTTTCTCTTTGGCTTCCTTTTTTGTCTGGTCATTTTCCTTTCTACGTTTTAGGAAGCTCTCTCTCCTCTTAGAATGCTTAATATGCTCAATACGCACATTAACTCCCTTGGCAAGACTCATGCCCTTAGCTTGCTTGTTCACAACAATGCTCACAGCATGCTAGGTAACATGGTAGACTCTTCCAGTTTTGCCATGGTAACATTTGTGGGGCATTCCTTTTTGAACAGTCCCCATTCCCTTGATGTCTACAATATCACATTTCTTGTAGATTTGCATAGATGTTGCCAAAGGAACCACTCCATGTCTTCTACAAGGCCTAGAGAACATATATCGGGTGCCTCTCCTCCTTCCCTTTGTGTTCATCATTTTGGTGAATTACTGGAAGATGGAGGTTCTGGCCAAAAGGAAGGCCAAAAAAATCTTAATAAATACATAAAAAAGGATCTGAAGATGAAGAGATGGTGTGTACACAGCAGCCAAGACTCCACCAGCTCGGCATCTCTTTTCTGGGATGAAATTTACACCTCTAGAAAACACCTGGCCTCCTTCTTAGAGGGCTCTGCCATGTACTCTGCTCCCTGACTGTGACTGGACTGTGACTAAACTCCATCCAACTGTGCCCTGGCCAGGTGGAACCCCTGCCTGGGATGTTTGCAAATGAGCCGGAGAGAGCAGTTTACTTCCCTGGTGGCGAATACGGTTGGCTGAGGCTAGCAGAAGCCAGATTTCCTTCCTGGTGGAGAGGCTGGTTTGTGAAAAGGAAGAGAATGCCCAGAGTGAAAAGAGGAAGTCATGGCTGCTTTCAAGCCCCAGTGTCTTGAACCTGAGGCCCCACTGCCCTTCTGAGTTTTATGAAAATTTCAAGGAAATTCCCTTTTTGTCTGACCAGTTTTGGGTTGCTATTATTTGCAAAAAGAAGAACAAACCAAAAGAACCCATGAGTAACACAGTTATTCACAGGAAAGCAGATAAATGAGGGGTTATGGAGTCACATAGGTGGTGAAGCCCTGGCACCCAGCCCTACAGCCATGACTGCCTGGAGCTGCCTTGGATACCACCCCAAGAGCTTGTCACAGGATGGAGCCTGCTCTGAAATGCTCTCGCAGACCCTCTCCCGTGTTGCCTCCAGGTAGTCTCCTTCCACCATCTCCCCTTGATTTGGTACAGCATTCACTATAGCTCTCCAATGGTGCACAGAGTTGGCATCCAGATGCCCTCGGCCATCTATGACCTTAAGATCTTTGGGTCTTAGTCTTGTACCTGTAGACTGAAGATACAAGGCGCCTTTAGGGTGGTTGCAAGGATGTATGAGCTGAGCTCGGATGTGTATGTGCTTAGCGCAGGGTCAGGTAGCATCACCGAGTACTCACTGAGACAACAGAACCTGCTATTGGCCTCTGAGACCCCCAAGGGCCCACCCTCATTAGTGAAATAAACGATGAGAGTGTGGTCATTTGAGAGTCAGTTTTTTTTTTTTTTTTTTTTTTTGGAGATGTTTTCGCTATAGGGCGCGTGCGCTCACCAGACAGACAGAGAGAGACATAGAGACAGAAAGCGAGAAATCATCCCCCAGAAGGATGGCCATGCTGCAGTCCCTCTCCTTCATTCTTCTCTTCAAACTTTGGGCATGCATGCATGCACAGGCGTGAGTTTTAAGCTGCTAGGTCCAGGACTTGAACCGCAGTCGACTACGTGGGAGTCCAGCAATGCAACCATTATGCCATCTGCTGGTTCCAAGAGTCAGTTCTTGATGTTTCTGCCAATTCACGTGACTTATCATCTGAGGATGGACTGGGTAAGAGATGGAAGCAGACACCCATTGGGCCTGATATTCTCCTGCCAAAAGCTTGCAAATCTTATTTGAGAGAGTCATGTCCATGCTTTGCTGTTGAGTGGGCCCAGGTCAACAAGAGAAGGGATATGTTTCTCTTCTCTGTTTGTAGACAAAATGCTCTTGGAATCATAACATTATACCCACATTGCAAAATGCAAAGGTTTACTTATTGTGAATGAATGAACGTCTTCATCCTGATCAAATTACACGAAAACCAAACTAAACAAAAACAAAACCAAACATAACATCTTCAAATTAACCTGCTCTCCAAAATCGTCCAAGGTTTCTGTCTTACATTAAACATGCATTTAACTTAAAACAAATTTCTTAAAGAATTATTTACTTTATTTGTCATTATTATTATTTTTCATTTAATCAGAGAGAGAAAGGGAAAGAAGCCACCAGGCCCAGGACCCGAAATGTGGTTGGCCATGTGGGAGTCCAGTACACCAACCACTGTGCCAACTGCTGGCTCCAGCGTGCATTTTATTTTATAAAGACTTATTTTATTTAATAAAGACTTATAACCACCTTGGAATTAAGAGAGACACACATACGTGCTATAGTTTCATCAGAATCAGATGTTTAATGGCGTAAAAACTCTCCATACATGGCTCTCCTGTTCCCAAACTCATCAACTTCAACTCCAAATATGACGCACACAGTTTTAGGGGTGATTTTGGCGGGCTTCCCCCATCCCAAAGGAGATGAAAAAGTAACAATATAAAAATGGTAAGGTCAAGGTGTTTGCACATCACAACCCATCACAACTAATGACTTGTCATTTGTCTACCGGCACCTTCTCCTCCACCCTGAAAGCTGTAGAGTTCATGCCGCTGTCGAACAAGTGGTTAATTGTTAGTTCCCTGGGTTATTGTCCCTGAGGTTAAGCCATGCTCTGGGGACACATTAGGCACTTTAAGTGGGGGAGTTACCTTTTCTGGGCTGGGTACAATGTTTGGCTCTCAAAAAGCAAGGTAATTCAAACAGAATGCCATGTGATTGTGTGCTCTTGGGACTAAATGTTGGGGTTTCAGAGCAATCCTGTGAACATCTGTACAGATGTTCCGGAGAGCTTTGAAGCTTGGCAAGCCATCTGCTTACTTTCCGCATGGCCCGTGGACTTGGGCCCAAAGGCCCATGCAGATTCTTATTCTAGTGTCCTGAGTGATGGCCCATCTGCATGGAGCAATGCTCCAAGTATTTAACAAGCATAACGGCACAGGTACTGGCAATTGGAACAGACGTTGGGTGTGGATACCTGGTAAGGCAGCACCAGGCCATGCTGGTGCCATGATCAGCTCCGCGTCTAAGGAGCGAAGGATTTCCACCTGCTCAGCAGGACACTAACTTACGTGCCTGCACAGATCCTTCCCCTAATCTGCCTCATCCACATCTTCTCCTGCAGTAGCAGCTTCCAAAGCCGCAAGGGCTTCTGCCACGGCCGCGTCCTCGTCCCCCATCTCCCCATCCCTGCCTTGGCTGGAGCCATGGGTGCCCTCCCACCGGGGTCCTGAGTCCACCACAGGCAGGGCCTGAGCAGGATCCTTCTCTTTGAAGCAGACATTTAGAACTTCCGTTGCCACAGCTTCATTTAATGAATCCCAACTTCTCTTCATGGAGAAGGGAATATTCAAACCATGCTTTCCTACTCTGGGGTGAATTCCCTCCGGGGACTCATCCTTAGCAGGGTTCTGAAAAAGGCAATCCTTTTCTTCATGGCCAGTGTTGTGTGCAGCAGGGCCCCAAATCTGAGGGTAATCTGGGGCTGGTATCTGGAGGACATGGTCTTGTACTTCTAAGTCAAGACGTTCAGCCTTAGCCGGTGTTCTGGAGTCTCCATGTTGGATGACTTGGGTCTCTTCTGAGGCTGGGTGCATGCAGTCCCATTTCCTGGAGCCCCCTCCTTCAAGGAAGGGTTGGGTTGGGTGGATGCTGTTTGCAGTACTGGCCCAGGAGCCCCGGTCATCCTGGTGGGGCCAGAGAGTCCCGGTGGGCTGCAGAGCAGCAGTCGGGCTGATGCCATTGATGGCTCCATCAGTCTTCCCTGCACAGTGTCCGCCTCCTGCATCCCCCTGAGGGAGCAGCCCTTGGTGAGACCAGCAGGGCTCCTGTGGACCAGCTGTTCTGCCCCTGCTCTCAGTCCTCTTCAAGCTCTCCCTCTGAAGGTCATTTTTATGCACCAGGACTTGGCTGCTCTGCTTGCCCTTTAACTTCACAGTGTGGTCTTCATCTAACTTGCAGCTGTTTACTTCATTGACATAGCCAGGGGAGGGCACTTGAACTGGATCAAAGAGATAGCTGGGGTGAGAGGGGAAAAATGAAAATCAGCCAGATTTGCACTGTGATTCAAACTTGCTACCACAGCTTCTGTTTCTTTCTACTCCTCCCGCTAATACAATGTCTGTGATTACTCTTCTAACCTTACAGAAGCTTGTCTACATCAAACAGCTATCTGGTTGGCCATTCATGCTCGTGGACTCAACCAACTATGGATTGAGAACACTTGAACAAAATGGCAATAGAAAATATCAATGCCACCATAGAAAATGATACAAACCAAAACAGTGCAAGTATTTACACTGGGTCACATATTATGAGTAATCTAGAGATGACTGAGAGTGCACAGGAGGCTGTGTGTAGGTTATGTGCAAATACTAAGCCATTCTACATGAGGGACTTCAGCACTCATGGATGTTGGTATCTGCGTGGTGCTGGAACCAATCGCCTGAAGATATAAGGGAGGACTGTAGCTGGTATAAAAATGGTCTGCCACTGGGATGGCTCTTAAGGGCCAGGTGGTGGCATGGTCTGACATGGCCAACTGCACAGTTCGAGTCCTGGACCCATCAGTTTGAGAAACACACCGGGTGCATGTGTGTGTGTGCGCCCAAAATCCCGAGAGGAGAATGGCAAAGGGATTGTGCTATGGCCATCCCTCCTGGGAGGTGGTGGTAGTGATGTCTCACTCTTTTTCTCTCTCATGCTTTTGCTCTGTGTCTTTGGTGACTTCATGTGCCCTGTAGCATATTAAAAAACAAATTTATTTTTAAAAGAACAGATCCAAAGGGAGGAGACAAGGGAGAAGCTAAAGTACAAAGTAGCTCACGGGATTATTTCTTCCCAGACACGGACTTGTGGTCATGATCCTCCTGCCTCAGCCTCCTGGGTGGAACTGTGGGCATGCACCACCACACCTGGCTCCTCCTTAGGCAAAATCTCATTATGCTGCTCAGACCAGCCTGCACGTCATATTCTCTCTGCCTCAGCCTCCTGAGCTGCTAGGACTGCAGGTGTACACCATCTCGCCAAGGACTTGAACCAGGATGCAGCCCGTGGAGCATAGCATCTTAGCAGCACATGCCGCCATGGCTGGGCCTTCATGGGATTTAATTTTTTTTTTTTTTAATTTAAAAAATGTTTTACTTCATGGGAAGTAAAGTGCCTATGGAACCTCCTCCCAGTGGAATATTACGCAATCATTAAAATGCTACACATGTGGTCTACAGCAGCATGAAAGGTATTTATAAAAAATACTTTCTGAGTAAAGTCAAACATATTATGAGTATAGCGGAGGAAAAAATATATATGCATGTGTCTGGAGAAGAACTAGAATAAAAGAGACAGTTTTATTTTGTTTAGGAAGCAAGATCACCAGTCCTTTTTTTTTTCTTCCCTTTTTCTTATGTAGAAGTTGATTCATGTCAGGGCTAGCAGGTGGTGTGGTGGTTAAGGCACTGGATTCCCACATGGTGGACCACTGTTCAAGTCCTGGGCCTGACAGCTTGAAAATCACACTGGGTATGTGCGTGCCCAAAATCTCAAGAGGAGAATGGAGGGGAAGGGTTTGCAGCATGGCTATCTCCTCTAGGGGGTGATTTTTCACTTTCCCTCTCTCCGTCTCTGTTTGTCTGTCTCTCTCCTACAAACACATGTGCCCTATAGCAAAAAAAAAGCAAAAACAACAACAAACAAAGCCAAAACTAAAGTTGTTGATTTATGCCACTCAAATTTTTAGGCAATGTAATATGGTCAAAATGAAAAACACATATATTATTGGGCCAATTTATTACCAGTGATGTCATTTCAGGGATCTTCTGAAACCTAAGCTTTTCTTTGGTGATCCCAACCTGCTTTGAGCAACAAGCAAAAAAAAAAAACACCAAGAAAAACAAAAACAAAAACAAAAAAACAGCTTAAAAATCTAGCCCACATATCCAAGATGGCAAAACAGTTCTAAAATCTTGATATATTGGCAATTTCGATCAGGCCTTCGATAACGAATGCTCTGAAGACAGTCCTGGTCTTTCCCAGTGACTCCGCTAGAATCACAAATTCCCCCACTGAGACGAAGCGACCCTCCAACTTTACCTTTGTATCATTTTACAGCACCTGCACCCCATCTGGATTATTTCTCATTACCATCTGGAAGAGAAGGGTGCACAAAGAAGACAGCACAGTCAACGACACAGTAGTTGGAATGACGTTTGCTTTTCCGCTCCCGCACACTCAAAACGAAGAGGGTGCCACATTGTGGCAAAACTGAGACTCCTGGGGCAGGGAGGATACTGACCCAGTGGGAAACAACTCCTTGGATCTAAAACCACTGACCTTTTCTTTGGTGATCCCAACCTGCTTTGAGCAACAAGCAAAAAAAAAAAAAAACACCAAGAAAAACAAAAACAAAAACAAAAAAACAGCTTAAAAATCTAGCCCACATATCCAAGATGGCAAAACAGTTCTAAAATCTTGATATATTGGCAATTTCGATCAGGCCTTCGATAACGAATGCTCTGAAGACAGTCCTGGTCTTTCCCAGTGACTCCGCTAGAATCACAAATTCCCCCACTGAGACGAAGCGACCCTCCAACTTTACCTTTGTATCATTTTACAGCACCTGCACCCCATCTGGATTATTTCTCATTACCATCTGGAAGAGAAGGGTGCACAAAGAAGACAGCACAGTCAACGACACAGTAGTTGGAATGACGTTTGCTTTTCCGCTCCCGCACACTCAAAACGAAGAGGGTGCCACATTGTGGCAAAACTGAGACTCCTGGGGCAGGGAGGATACTGACCCAGTGGGAAACAACTCCTTGGATCTAAAACCACTGACTCCAAGTTCTCACATCTTTTGTGACAGTCCCCGCTGTGCCATGCCCTTTCCCACCCCTCAGTTTACATACTCCATGCCCATTTTACAGATGAGGAGACCTGGGGTGGAAGGATGCTAAGGAGAAGACGTGCAGTCCCGAGCCCACGGCCTTTGGGGGAGGATACAGGAGCCCCACCAGGCACCATCCCCTGAGCAGTAGCAGCAGCAGGTGGTGTGAGAGGTTCCTAGAGGACCCCTTGCCAGGAATTAGCTTGTCAAGTATGAAACAATGTCTGGGGGCTGGCAGGTGGCATGGTGGTTAAGGCGCTGGACTCCCACATGGCCAACAGCGGTCTGAATCCCTGACTTGGAGGCTCGCTTTCTCACCTTCCCTTTCTCTATCTCTTTCTCTGGTCAAATTAAAAAAATACTAATAACAAATAAAAACATAAATATTCTAAAAAAAAATAAAGAAGAAGAAAGAAACAGCTGGTCTGTGTCCCTGACAGACCCTGAGGACTGTCACAGCCTGAGTCAGTGGCACAAGCTTGAGCTGCACTTCTCGGCTCCTGTTCTAGTTCATCTGGATTTTCCTCCTGGACTCCACTCTCTCGTGGCGCAGATGTGCCCCCTAGGGGCTTCCCTGGGAGGATGAACCCTTTTCCCACCTGGATTTTCCCATGCCTTCCCAAGCTGGATTTCCTCCCATCATTTCCCTCTGAACAGAATCTCTTCGTGTAAAATTGACCATGTTGATCTGCTCTTTTCTCAGGAAATCCCCAAAATCGGTGTGGAAGGATCAAAACGTCATTCTCCATTTCTAACATTTACAGCCTTTAAAAAAACACAGTGACAACAGTATCCAAAACCCCAAGGTTTTCGTCTCCAGGAAGAAAGAGAGCATGCAGGTGGCCACCCCTGCCTCCTGGTTCTCTTCTTTCTCCTTTCAGTCATGAATGTGTATGGTGGTACTTCACGAGCCTTAGCACACAGAGAAAATGACTGAACGTTTTTCTTTTTTAAAGTTTGTCTACTTAAGAGAAAGAGAGAAGTAGAGAGATAGTTGATTAATTTCTGACAGCTTTGCCACATCAGGATCCTTCTGCCCCAAGATAGCTGTCAGTTACTGCTCTCGTTTTTTTTTTTTCTAGAAGTTTTTGCCTTAGGGCATGTGTGCTTACCAGAGAGAGATAAAGAGACAGAGACAGTGAGAGGGAAAGTGAGAAATTACCCTCCAGGGAGAATGGCCATGTTGCAATCCCTTCTCCTCCAGGGCATGCACACACATGCACCTGGCATGAGTTTCAAGTCACTGGGTCCAGGACTTGAACTGCGGTTGGCCATGTGGGAGTCCAGTGACATAACTGCTATGGCATCGGCTTGCTCCACTGCTCTCATGTTTAATCTCAGGGCATTTTGCCATGGCTCACTTTCCTTTTATGCCGTGAGCTCTATGAGATGAAAGCCTTTCTTCGAGTTTACTCCTGAGTGCTCAGGACAGTACCTGGTACTTAGCAGACAGTGGATATTTGCTGGATGAATCGATTACCTACCGGGTAGACACAAAAGAGAAAAACAGCATTTGACAGCTTTTGGTGTGTCTACAAGAAGTGAAGACATTTTCAGTCTGACTTGACCATGTCACCCAGGCATTACGAGGATGGGATCTGGGGACAGAAAAGTGATTCAGAACCCAGCCCTGCCACTCACTCGTGCAACTTTGCATCTCAGTCACTTCGTCAGTAATCAGAGATAGCAACATACCTGCCATACGGCATTGTCAGCGATCTTAGAGCCAACAGTCATACTAGGTATGGACCAGTGTATCGTCCAACCCTATTTGAATATAGCACCTTAAGAAAGAAAGAAAGAAAGAAAAGATGGAGGCCTTGCACCCAAGAAAGATGTAATCTAGTTGCCATGACATCTACATACAAACAAGGGCATGAACAATACCAACTAGTGCTTGTTTTGGAATAAGGGCCAAATGGGATATTTCTATTAATGGTGATGCCAATTGCAAGACATAAATCCAAGGGTGACAACAGTTCCAGAGAGACAGAACTCACTGCAGGGTTAGCCAGCAATCCGTGTGCATCCACTTATAGTCTTCCAAGGCATTCTCAATTAAATTACTCCACTTCCAAAGCCCAGGATATTTTATTTCCCAGTCCCTGCTTCCTACTTTTTAACTCTTATTTAATTTATAAGTGGATCACTGAATAGATACAAAGTAAGGCAAACACCTCCTCCCCCTCAACACCCCCCCTGCTCCCTACCGGTCCCTTCCCTCCACACAACCTGCTCTAAAGCCTTGACCCTTTCTCTGCCTGCAATACCTTTGTTTATTTTGGCCTCTGTGTAAAAAAGAAAAAAAGTAATCAGTAGGAGAATAGGTAGTGAAAAAAGTCAAGGCAAAAGGGGAAAAAAGAAAGGCTTAGAAGTATGTGAGAAACAGAGGGCAGATGTGGATTGTAATAATGTAACTGAAGTGATCCTAAAACATGAATCACTAAAAAATCTCAGGTCAGCTTCCTGATGTTGAATTTGAGCTGTGGGAAGAAGGAAGACAGGAAGGAAGCAAGGAAGGGGGAGGGAGAGCGTGAAGAAGAGAAGCGGAAGGCACGTTTTACTGGATACATCTGCTTTCTCAACTTCTCAGAGGGGGATCAAGCTCCACCTTGCAGAACCCTCACCAAGCTGGAGCTAGGGAGCCCGTCCCTACCTTCTGCTGCTGAAGCCAAGGTCATAGGACCAGTCTGTGCCAAAATGAAATGACTGACGGATGAGATTTAACAGCTCAATGCAAAAACAATTACTTTCCTGCTTCTTAAAGTACAAACCAGCCCTAGCTTTGGGATCCCTCCACCCCATTGAGCAAACCATAGGTTCTATACTGTTCTTCAAAGCTAAGCCACTATAAGGGAGGTCTTGATGGCTCTTCCTGTTCAAAATCAAGTCCCCAGTTTGGTCTCTCCCCCTTGGCTGCCTGCAAGAGTCTCCTACAGACCTGGTTCCATACCTGAGGATCACACTTCTGCAGCTCCTGGAGCTCAGTGTGGACAGGCTCTTC